AAAATGGTAAAAAGTAATTAGGCAATTAGAGGCTACTTTGTAATTTCAGCATGCCATGTAATTAAATAAGACTGCAGGAGGTTAGCTCCCTAGTAAGCAAAAATCTCATATTTCAGCAGTGTACCACTGAACGAGTATATCCCTTCTCCATTTATTATTACATTATATTGCATTATTAAGAGTGATTATATTTATAAACGGTGAACTTCGTGCTTGCTTGCATTTAAATCTCATGGAAATATAAACTGTAGGACAGCCCAATCCCCACTGCGTAATGCATGCAGATGAGGTTATAAGTTTTAGCATCTGCTTGTGTCTGGTGACTATGAGTGATTCATCTTACATATTTTCTGCAAGGATGGAATGGGGTGGGAGGGTGGAGGGATTAAATATTATGAAATTAGCTTTATCTCTGGCTATTAACTGCAAAATATCATTACAGTTTCTAACATATGCAAAACTGCTTTAGCCCAATAGTGCTTCTTCAGAAAGAAACTAGAGGACCATTCATAGTATAGAATTACTGTGTGTTCCACTTCAATCTTAAAATTGACAGTTTAAGGAGGAGCCTTAATTCTCTGGCTGAGAATTAAGAATTCTCGTACCTCTTGAGACTTTGGGTTGGAACCAGGGCAGTTTATAATAGCACCATAATTCTGTAGTGTGAATGAACTCCTAACCATAAAAAAGAATTTTTATCTATCTATCTATCTATCTATCTATCTATCTATCTATCTATCTATCTATCATCTGAGCGAAGGCTGAGCGAAGGAAGATAGCTGCTTTTGAACTGTGGTGTTGGAGGAAAGTTCTGAGAGTATCTTGGATTGCGAGAAGATCCAACCAGTCCATCCTCCAGGAAAGAAAGCCCGACTGCTCATTGGAGGGAAGGATACTAGAGACAAAGTTGAAGTACTTTGGCCACATCATGAGGAGACAGCAACGCCTAGAGAAGACAATTATGCTGGGGAAAGTGGAAGGTAAAAGGAAGAGGGGCCGACCAAGGGCAAGATGGATGGATGGCATCCTTGAAGTGACTGGACTGACCTTGAAGGAGCTGGGGTTGGTGACGGCCGACAGGGAGCTCTGGCGTGGGCTGGTCCATGAAGTCACAAAGAGTCGGAGATGACTGAACGAATGAACAATAACATCTATCATCTATCTATCTATCTATCTATCTATCTATCTATCTATCTATCTATCTATCTATCATCACCTATCTATGTCTTCAAGTTAACTTATTGTGACTTCATCTATTTTTTAGGCAAGGAATACTCAGAGTGGATTCTACCAGTTCCTTCCCCTGAAATACAGCTACAGCACCTGGTTTTCACTGGCAGTCTCAAATCTTAGTAATAACCAAGGTTAAGCCTGGTTTGCTTCCAAGATCAGACACAATCTGATGCCTTTAGGGCAGGCCTGAACAACCTGTGGCCCTCCAGGTTCAGATTTCCAACTCCCAGAAGCACTAGCCAGCTTGTCCAATGGTCAGGAATTGTGGGAGATGAAGTCCAAAACACCTAGAGGGCCACGAGTTGTACAGGTTTGCTTTAGAGAATTTAGGACACCTTTCCAATTTCTGCACAAACTTTTCTATTTGGAGATTTGCAGCACATCCATCTATTTGATTTAGCTTTCTAACAGTTGTGAACAGCAATAAGTTTTGGTATGTGTAAACAACACAGTTGTACTGTGCAGATAATATTACCTGGAAATCCAGTTGACCCTTGAGGTCAACCTGATAGCCATCAGAAGCTGACCTTCCTTCCAAAGCAGTGCCCTCTCCTTGCTAGTTTCTCCCTTGGGAGGGCAGCCAAACCAGACAAATCATACTAAGCATTAAAAAAAAGTTTAAACCCTCACAACCTTTCAATTTATATATATTTCAGTCCTGATCATTGCATTGTCACTGAACATTATTTTTGCCTGCTTTCTGAATCAGGCTTTGATATGGCTTTATATTATTATATTTGAACACAATCTTGATAGAATGATGTGGGTTGAAGATGTGCTAAACATGTAAAATATATAATATTCATTGCAATTGGTGACAGTCTTTCAATCTTGAATATTAGATGAATACCATTGTCAATATGGATGTCTTTCCCTAATCATTGCAATCCTAAGTCAGTCTGTTCAAAAACAGCTCCTACTTCAGTGAAACTTACTTCCAGGTAACTGTGTATAGGATTGCAGCCTTAATGTGTGCCAATAGAGCAATGCAGTGTAATAACAACTAATACTCAGTTACTGAGCTTTTGGCATAAACAAAGAATCCAGCAAGAATATTTCTTGCATAGCCAAAATGTAGGTCTAATCAAGGACATTTTATTAAAAATGTTGCCATGGTGAGAACGATGAGCTCAGCAACTGTGTAGAGTTTTTCCAGGTAGAAATTCTTGCTCTCTCTCTCTCTCTCTCTCTCTCTCTCCCTCTCCCCCCCCCTCCCCCTCCCTCCCTCTCTCCCTCCCTCTTTCTCTTTCTCTTTTTATCTGTCATAGCTAATTTCTTATCTTATTGAAAAAGATGTCAAAATGCAAAGTATGCTGAATACAACCGTCAGGTGCATTTCAAATCTCACAGATGCAATCAGTAACTTCTCAAACAATTCAAATCCTCTTCAGTTTCCCCCCTGGCAAAGCCCTTCTCCTGTTCAAACTTTTAGGTATTTGAATAATTTCTCAGCACTGAGAATTTTTCCTACTCATGGACCTACTCATACTTCCTACAGTCATTAGTAATTTAAATTATGTTAAATACACTTATTTGTTATTACTTCGTCACTGACAAGTCATTGCGATGGTTCTTTTACAAATCTGACACTGATTATATTGCTTTTATTATTTTGGTTGAAATCACTGGGGGTATGAACCAGATTGTGGACCTGTGGAATAAAAATATTAAATCAAATTGTATCAGAGCTTTTAAATGGACAAAAATGGGGCAAGTGATATTATAAAGTTTCATCTTACCCATGTGAGATTAAAAGGTTAAAAGAATAACATACTATTTTATATATGCGACACTTCAGTCAAAGTATTTGCTTTTTTCCCAAGACAGACTATTAGTCTATGTAGTTCAGTATTGTTTAGAAGTGGCTCTTTTTTAGGAGAGGTCCATTCACTGGAAGTTAACTAGACACCAAGCCTTGGGACCTCTGAGGGCCCTTCCATACAGTCCTATATCCCAGAACATCAAGGCAGAAAATCCCACATTATCTGAGAGTGGACTCAAAGAACCCAGTTCAAAGCAGATATTATGAGATTTTCTACCTTGATTTTTGGGATATAGGGCCTTGAGTGTAAGTATATGCTGTACTACCATAAATTTTCACTTCCTATAAATGTAATGATCATATAAATAGCTCAAATGAGAGAATAGATTATGCTAATAAATATTTGGATAATATACTCAGCCATGATATGGTGCTGAACTTCATTCATAACAGGCTGGTATTCTGTCATTGCCATACAGTACCTTTATGCCTGTACAGTTCTTTGGCACTGTGGAGGTTGGTACTCGCATACTTCTGGAGAACTCTAAGTTCCCTTTGCCTTACTGTACACCTCTAAATCACTGCTTTGTGGACACTAAGCAGAGTATGGTTATGTCCTCTGTCTGGTTATGGCAAATCTTAAAGTTAATTTTGTATCTGGTTTTGGAGACAGAGCTAGATGCTTCTCTACCCAATTTCCAAGAGACATAAAATTGATATGTGGGGTAAGGAACTTGAGAAACTATATCATAAGTCCAGGGTGGTGGTATACAGCTCATTCTAATTGTAATTGTTTATTTGATATATGTGTGTATGGCATCAAATTGCTGCCTGTTGTAAAGCCACCTTGAGTGGGGTGAAAAAGGCAGGATATAAATATGGTAAATTTTAAAAAAAATAATTCTACTATGTTATGCTGAGCATTGCAGCCATACTAAACAACCATTGCAGCCATACTAAACCAGTGTCTCACATCGCTGACACCTAAGCTGTTTTGTTTCACTTCTATTTCACTTGCAAAACAATAACATGACTGACTGAAACAAACGGTAACAAAGGCCCTTTCTACACTTCCATAAAAGAAGACAATCCACATGATCTGCTTTGAACTGGATTATATGAGTCTACACGACAATATAATCCAGTTCAAAGCAGATAATCTGGATTTTATATGGTGGTGTAGAAGGGATCTAAGAGTTAGTACCAAGAAAATCTTGGGTTAACACCATCAATGGAAAATGTCATATAGACAAAATTTGAAGACATGTAAATGAAGAACTAGAAAATGGCATCATGAAAACTTGAGCCAATTTTTTTCATCTTAATTTAAGACACCAATCCATTGAGCTGCATCTTTGGTAAAGTGATATCAAAAAGTTCAGAAGCAGGGTAGGATACAGCATTAGTTATCAACTGCATAAGAAGCATATGCCTCTTGTTTTAGAAATCACCTAAAAAGAAGTTAGCAGAGATATATCCCAATTCTGTAAATTTATCCATACATACCAATTCTAAACTAGGCTAGTTAATTGGTTAATTTGTAATGCAAATATAAGCTGCTATAGTAAGTAGAGTGATGGGAGAAAGACTTACAAGTTGGAATTTTACAGGATGTGGGAAAAAGCTTTCCCATGGCTTGTTTTGTGAAGAGCCTTTCCTCTGTTTGGAACTCAATGCTTTCATATTATTTAGACATAACTCATTTAGAAAATTATTACATTGCTACTTCTAATAGGTGTGTGGCAGACTGATGGTCATAGAAAAAAATTGCTTAGTTATTAAAGTATTTCCCACACAAAGCTTGATTAAGAAGTGTGTACAACTATGCTTTTGTCAACAGGCAATCTTATTAAATTTATTTATTTCAAGAGGCTTTTCAGACAGAAGCAAGAGGTGCTTAATATTGTTTTCTCAGTGTACCAAAGACATGAAAGGACGAACCAGGAAGAATAACAGAATGTCTACAGTTTACAGTGAAAACCATCTTTGTAAAGAAGATATTCACCTCTTTTGAGAAGAACAACAGTAGCATGTCTGCGGCCATATCCATTTTCAACATAACATGAATAATTTCCGAGGTCTCCTTCTTCCACTGAATCAAGAATTAATGAGATGGAAACTTCCTGTTCTCCAAGATGCTCCTTAAGAATTCTAGTGAAATAAACAAAAAATACGGAATACATATCACTAGAGAGATACAGCGAGACAGTCTTGGTTTGATGCAAGTTATATTATAGAATGTTCTTATTTGTCATCGTTGTTAATGAGTGCAGTGGTAAATTTGTGATGATGCTATTAACAGCTCTCAGATATGAAATTGAAGTTGTGCACCAAAAATATTGGTCAAAAGTTTGCAAAACTTTCAAAAGGATTTAATAAGTATGACACAGGTTGAATATCCCTTATCTAAAATTCTTGGGATCAGAAGTGTCCAATATTTTGATTTTTTTCCCAAATTTTGGATTACTTGCATATACATAATAATATTTCTTAGAGATGAGGCCCAAGACTATACATTAAATTCATTTGTATGTCATATACATTTTAAAAATATTATTTTTAGATGTTGAACATTTAAGTATATTTAAATATTCAAAATCTCAACATTTTCAACACTAGACTACTCATAGCATATTACCTATCTCAGTTATAATGAAATAACATTTACACATTTTTTCTGTCATGAGCAAAGATTATATATATATATATATATATATATATATATATATATATATATATATATACACACATACATACACACACACACACACACACACACACATACACATACACACATACACATACACACATACACACACACTTTATTTATACCCCACCACCATCTCCCCAAAGGGACTGGGGGCGGCTTACATGAGGCCAAGCCCGTCAAATACAAATTCAACAATACATCAACAAACAAACAAGAAAATAAAACAATATAAATAATACAGTTAAACATGTAAGCAATAACACACACAAAATTTTAAACACTATGGCAGGGCCAGATGTAGATTAAAATTTTAAAACCCTGGGCATGTACAGAGTAGGGTATGTCTAGACATAGGGTTTTAAAAAGTGATGTGGAGGGATCAATCCAATAGATAGATAAAGTGCTTCAGAGGACATATGGAAGGAAATTGGTCAGATCGGGCATCATTTCCTTTATTCAGGGAAGGCACACTGGAACAGCCACATTTTCAAGCTTCTCTTAAAGACTGCCAAAGTGGGGGCTTGTCTGATATCTTTAGATAGAGAGTTCCAGAGTTGGGCGGGGGGGCACCAAAGAGAAGGTCCTCTCCCTTGTCCCCACCAATTGCACCTGCGAAGGAAGCAGGAGCGAGAGCAGGGCCTCTCCAGATGAATGAAGAGATTGCGTGGGTTCGTAAACAGAAATGTGGTCACGCAGGTAGGTGGGTCCCAAATCATTCAGGGCTTTATAGGTAAGAACCTGCACCTTGAATTGGGACTGGAAGATGAACGACAGCCAATGGAAGCTCCTTAAAAAGGGGGGGGGGGTTGACCGCTCCCTGTAAGTCACTCCATTTAGTAGCCTGGCTGCCACTCGTTGAACCAATTGAAATTTCCGAGCTGTCTTCAAGGGCAGCCCCACGTAGAGTTCATTGCAGTAATGCAATCTGGAGGTGACTAAGGCGTGGACCACTATGGCCAGATCCGACTTCATGATTCTATACAGAGGCTGGATGGCCATCTGTCAGGGGTGCTTTGAATGCAATATTCCTGCTTCTTGGCAAGGGGTTGGACTGGATGGCCCATGAGGTCTCTTCCAACTCTATGATTCTATGATTCTACAAGGTACGGTCGCAACTAGTGCATGAGTTTTAGTTGTGCTAAGACCCTCCCAGCCACCGCTGACGCCTGAGCTTCAAGCGTTAGTGATGAGCCTAGGAGGACACTAAAGCTGCGACCTGTGACTTCAGGGGGAGTGCAACCCCATCGAGCACAGGTTGCCATCCTCCCCTTATGTTGATTCATGTAGGAACCAATGATACTGCAAGGCATACTTTTCAAAAGATCACAAATGATTTTCGAGCTCTAGGAGCAAAGCTAAAAGAATGTAATGTACAGGTGGTCTTTTCATCCCTCCTCCCTGTTGTAAGACACGGACCCACAAGAGCCAGAAAAATAGTACAGGTCAATGACTGGCTTAGAAAATGGTGTCAGGAGGAGCGCTTTGGCTTCCTCGACCATGGCCTGCTTTTCCAGGAGGATGGCCTACTGGCAAGGGATGGGGTGCATCTCACACAAGTAGGAAAACACCTTTTTGCTCACAGACTCGCAAACCTCATTAGACGCACTTTAAACTAGGTCCACCGGGGGAGGGGGACAACAGCCTTGCGAACACTACTTTACCCATAATGTCTGGGAATCGCCAGAAGGCTAAACGGAGGGCTGCACAAACACAACAAGGGCCAAGTACCAAAAGCACAATAATCCCAATTAAACAGCTCAAGGGAAGATCCCAGGGGCTCACATGTCTTTACACTAATGCACAGAGCATGGGAAATAAACAAGACGAACTCCAACTTTTAGCACAACACCACAAATATGATATCATAGGGATCACTGAAACCTGGTGAGATGACTCCTATCGCTGGAATGTAGATATCGAGGGGTATAACCTCTTTCACAGAAACCGAACAAAGGGGAGAGGAGGCGGAGTAGCCTTATATGTCAAAAACTCTTATGCTGCAGAAGAGATTCAAGACAGCAATCTGGGAAACCAGCTTGAAATCATCTGGATAAGAATCAAGGGAACTGGGACTCAAAAAGATGTCGTTGTAGGCGTCTACTACAGACCCCCAAGCCAGGAGGAAGAACTTGATGAAGTCTTCTGCCAACAGTTGACCAAACAGGCACAGAAAAGAGATGTAGTAGTCATGGGCGATTTCAACTATCCTGATATTTGCTGGAAAACAAACTCGGCCAAGAGTACAAGGTCCAACAAATTCCTCGCTTGCCTTGCAGACAATTTCATGGTCCAGAAGGTAGAAGAGGCAACAAGGGGATTGGCTACTCTTGATCTCATCCTAACAAATGCGGAGGACCTGATCGATGCGGTCGAAGTGGTAGGATCCTTAGGGGCAAGTGACCATGTGCTCCTGCAGTTTGAGGTACAAAGGAAGGCCGAAACTAAGACAAGTCAAACCCGCATTTTGGACTTTAGGAGAGCTGATTTCCAAAAAATGAAGGAAACTGAGCAGCATTCCGTGGACACAGATACTAAAAGACAAGGGAGTTACGGATGGATGGGAATTTCTCAAGAGTAAAATACTCAAGGCGCAATTGCAAACCGTGCCAACAAAGAGAAAAAATAGGACAAGTGCAAAGAAGCCAGAATGGATGTCCAAAGAACTTCTAACTGTGCTAAGACACAAAGAGACATGCACAAGAAGTGGAAAAAGGGAGAAATCACCAAAGAAGAATTCAAACAAATAGCCAACACCTGTAGGGAAAAGGTCCGCAAGGCTAAAGCAAACGAGCTCAGACTTGCCAGGGACATTAAAAACAATAAAAAGGGCTTCTATTCTTATGTCAGTAGAAAAAGGAAAAACAAGGAGGCGATAGGACCTCTTCGAGGAGAAGATGGGGCAATGCTGACAGGGGATAGGGAAAAGGCAGAACTACTTAATGCCTTCTTTGCCTCGGTCTTCTCACAAAAAGAGAGTCTTCAACCTCAGCAAGATGGAGTGGATGAGGGATTGGAGGACATCCAACCCCAAATTGGGAAAGAAGTCGTCCAGGAATACCTGGCCGCTCTTAATGAGTTCAAGTCCCCAGGGCCAGATCAACTACAACCCAGAGTATTGAAGGAACTAGCGGAAGTCATTTCAGAACCATTGGCAACCATCTTTGAGAGTTCTTGGAGAACGGGAGAAGTTCCAGCAGATTGGAGGAGGGCCAATGTGGTCCCAATCTTCAAGAAGGGAAAAAAGGATGACCCAACCAACTACCGTCCGGTCAGCCTCACGTCGATACCGGGCAAGATTCTGGAAAAGATTGTTAAGGAAGCGGTCTGCAAACACTTAGAAACAAATGCAGTCATCGCTAATAGTCAACATGGATTTATCAAAAACAAGTCATGCCAGACTAATCTGATCCTTTTTCGATAGAGTTACAAGCTGGGTAGATGCGGGGAATGCCGTGGATGTAGCGTACCTGGATTTCAGTAAGGCCTTCGACAAGGTCCCCCATGACCTTCTGGCAAGGAAACTAGTCCAATGTGGGCTAGGCAAAACTACGGTGAGGTGGATCTGTAATTGGTTAAGTGGACGAACACAGAGAGTGCTCACTAATGCTTCCTCTTCATCTTGGAAAGAAGTGACGAGCGGAGTGCCACAGGGTTCCGTCCTGGGCCCGGTCCTGTTCAACATCTTTATTAATGACTTAGATGAAGGGCTAGAAGGCATGATCATCAAGTTTGCAGACGACACCAAATTGGGAGGGATACTCCAGAGGACAGGAGCAGAATTCAAAACGATCTTGACAGATTAGAGAGATGGGCCAAAACTAACAAAATGAAGTTCAACAGTGACAAATGCAAGATACTCCACTTTGGCAGAAAAAATGCAATGCAAAGATACAGAATGGGGGACGCCTGGCTCGAGAGCAGTACGTGTGAAAAAGATCTTGGAGTCCTCGTGGACAACAAGTTAAACATGAGCCAACAATGTGATGTGGCGGCAAAAAAAGCCAATGGGATTTTGGCCTGCATCAATAGGAGCATAGTGTCTAGATCTAGGGAAGTAATGCTACCCCTCTATTCTGCTTTGGTTAGACCACACCTGGAATATTGTGTCCAATTCTGGGCACCACAATTCAAGAGAGATATTGACAAGCTGGAATGTGTCCAGAGGAGGGCGACTAAAATGATCAAGGGTCTGGAGAACACGCCCTATGAGGAGCGGCTTAGGGAACTGGGCATGTTTAGCCTGAAGAAGAGAAGGCTGAGAGGAGATATGATGAGAGCCATGTATAAATATGTGAGAGGAAGCCACAGGGAGGAGGGAGCAAGCTTGTTTTCTGCTTCTGGAGACTAGGACGCGGAACAATGGCTTCAAACTACAAGAGAGGAGATTCCATCTGAACATGAGGAAGAACTTCCTGACTGTGAGAGCCGTTCAGCAGTGTAACTCTCTGCCCCGGAGTGTGGTGGAGGCTCCTTCTTTGAAGCTTTTAAACAGAGGCTGGATGGCCATCTGTCAGGGGTGATTTGAATGCAATATTCCTGCTTCTTGGCAGGGGGTTGGACTGGATGGCCCATGAGGTCTCTTCCAACTCTTTGATTCTATGATTCTATGATTCTATACCCCGATCCGGCTTACGATCGACCTGGAAGACCTCTGTCTTGTTGGGATTGATCCTCAGCTAATTCATTCTCATCCAGACAGTCACAGTGGCCAGGCACTCGTTCAGCATCGGATGGGCTTCTTTGGAGTGAGGTGGAAAGGAGCAGTAGAGTTGGGCATCATCTGCGTAGAGATGGCACCCAACTCCAAAACTCCGGATGACCTCTCTCAGCGGTTTCATGTAGATGTTAAAAAGCATGGGGGACAGAATGGAACCTTGCAGGACCCTACAGGTCAAAGGCCAGGGAACTGAGCAGGTCTCCCCCAGCTTACCATCTGGGAACAACCCTCCAGGAAGAACTGGAGCCACGACAAAGCCGTGCCCCCAAGACCCATCCCAGAAGGATACCATGGTCTATGGTATCGAAGGCCGTTGAGATGTCCAAGAGAACCAACAGGGTCACACTCCCCCTGTCTAGCTCCCTGCGGAGGTCATCCACCAAGGTGACCAAAGCTGTCTCGGTACCATGACCAGGCCTAAACCCAGACTATGACTGATCCACGTAATCAGTGTCCTCTAGGAATCCCTGGAACAGAGAGGCGAACACCCGCTCCAGCACCTTGCTCAAAAAAGGGAGGTTACAGATTTGTCTGTAATTGTTCAAAACTGTGGGATCAAGGGAGGCCTTTTTCAGGATTAGTCTAACCACAGCCTGTTTCAGACCAGATGGGAATGCCCCCTGCTCCAGTGAAGCATTGATGATGAATACAAGCCAATCAATCAACCCACCTCTAGCCAATTTAATTAGCCAAGAAGGGCAAGGGTCCAGAGCCGATGTGGTCGCCCTCACAGCCCTCACAGCCCCAAGGACCCCCTCCACGTCATTGGGATGAACAAGCCGGAAAGAATCCCACAAAACCAGACAGGCAGATGCCTCGGTCACCTCCTCTGGTACTGTCTAGCTCAAGGCGTATCACAGAGACTTTATCTGCAAAATGGTGTGCGAAATCGCAGCACCAGGCTGTTGAGTCGTCGATGACAGTTTCCCAATGACCTGAAACAACTCAGAAGGTCTATTGGATGCAGATGCTATGTTGGCAGTCAAGAAAGTCTCCTTGGCTTTCCGTATAGCCACGGTATAGGCTCTAATTGAGGCTCAAGCCCACACTTGGTTGGAAACACCCTGAGATTTCCTCCAGATGCACTCCAGTCTCTTTCTCACCCGCTTCATCTCCAGCTCAAAGAACCAAGGAGATGGCATGACTCTGTGCAGCGAGAGGGGACATTCAGGAGTGATCATGTTTATCACCCTGGCCATCTCTCTATTATAGCCATCAACCAGGGCGCTGACAGGATCACCAGCCTCCATGACAGGAAGAGCCCTTCTACCCTTCCTTCCTTCCATACTTCTCTTCCTCCCTCCATCCCTTCTCTTTTTCCTTCCTCCTTTCCTCCTAGGGGATGTTTAGCTGGGAGAAGAGAAGGTAGCAAGAAAACATGGGAACTGTGCTTTAATATTTAAAAGGGTGTACCATTGAAGAGGAGGAGGGGGGAAAGCTGACTTTCTGCTGTTCTAGAGACCAGGGCACAAAGGAGCAATAGGTTCAAATAGCAGGGAAATAGACTTGACTGAAAAGATTAGGAAGAACTTCCCGGACAGTGGCATTAGGCTGCCTGGGAATGTGATGAAGTCTCCTTCTCTGGAGACTTTTCCACAGAGGCTGTCTATTGGGAGTGCTTTGATTGTGCCTTCCTGCATGACAGGAGGTTAGACTGAATGGCCCTTCCAGCTCTATATCAGGAGTAGGTAATATGAGGTCTCATGGATACACTTCTTCTCTCCCATCCACCATCTCATCCTGACTAAGACCAGCCCTTTTGGGATCCAAACGTTTTCTGTCTTTCCTTCACATTCTGCTCCAAAAGAGAAAAGGAATGAGAGGAAAGGGTAGGGAGGGGACTGGGGGAGAACCCCCTACCTTTTGGCCTGCCCACCCTGCTCCACCTTGCCAAGTTAGAAAGTTTGCCTGTGCCTGGGATACAGGGATCTTGTAAATACAAAATAATGACTGTTATCTGGCAAGTTACTCATTTAGATTTCTAAATCCTATTTAGATATCTGTTTTTATATGAAAGAACTGCTAGTTTAAGAAATAATTGGATAACTGTCAAAGAACGATTTTTTAATGCCGTTGTCAGTGAATGGAAAGGCAGGTCTATGGTGCTTTAATACATTGCTTCCTTTTGCATGGAACATGATTCATTACAGGGAATAAGAGATGAGTCTAGACAAAATATATACAGTGTTCTCTTTTTACCTAATATCGCTTTCCCAAACCCGACTTTCATCCAAATCCTCAATAAACTTTTCGCCTTTCATCCAATACATTAAAGGGCTGACTTCACCGCTGTATCCAAAGAATGCTCGACAGGTTAGATTAGCAGAATGGCCTGTTGAAGAGAATTAATAAAGAAAATGTGTTATTCCAAAACTGGCAAAAATGTTCCATTATTGACAGTGAAAGTATTGCTCTCTCCTTCAGACCTAAGAGAATATTACTTGGCTTTAACATTCATATGCTTGTAGAATAAACCAACCAATTACAAAATCACAGAGTAGTCAATTCTTTAATAACAGATATCACTGACAGGTTAATTATATAGTCTTCTTTCAAGGCATTGTATTCCATACATGGCCAAAGACTTCAAAGGACTCTACAATGCACAAAATACTACGGTTCTGCACTGAACACAGATCTTTCTAATTTGATCCTATTTCTTCTATGTAGAGGACATATATACTTTATATGCTATTATTCAGCATCCAGATTGCTAGTAGTTATTTAAAATTTATTTCTCACTACTAATTGCGCATTGGTGCAGCAATACATACTATATAGGGAAAGAGAATCTAGGGACAAGAATATCCAGCGACATGAAAGATATATAATATTATACTGGAAAGATTTTCATACCTCAACTCTGTATATAAAGATAAAAACAAAAACAATGTATGCAAACTGTCAGAGGGAAAAATGCCCCACATATTTGTGGAGTGCGGACCTAAAAGGCAACATCCAATATACAAATTGTTTTATATGTTTGGTCCTGCTTCTAGATCTTTTAAAAGATCTCTAGAAACTGGTTTCTAATTCACACTACACATTGATATGGATATGAGACATTGACTCAGCAATTTATATGGCTTTAATCTAATTGATTTATTGATATGTATTTTAATTGTTATATGTTTAGATAGTTTTATATTATGGGATGTGTTTTATTGTTTACCTGTGCGGCATTGAATTTATTGCTGGATTTGTAAGCCTCCTTGAGTCCCCTCTAGGGTCAAGAAAGGCAGGGTAGAAATGAAGTAAATACTTCAATTGCCACGGCAACCTCTGAAATCCTGCAATTTGTAGCTTGATGAGATGCTAGGACTCTATGGTTGAGAATTCTCTCTCCATAACTACAAATACCATGATATTAATGTTATCATGGAAGTTAAAATGGAATAACAACATTATTATTATGGGCCCTCGATATTTCTAAGATTGCTTATAAACATTACCCAGCGTCGATAACTGAAACATCCAGTTTATTGCTTTTTTTTTCCAATTGCGGAAAATAAGAAGGATATAGAAGAATTCAGATACCATATTGTTCATCTCATATTTGAGACAAAGAGTACGACCCATAAACATTTGTATTACTGAGGCCCATGATTTTGCAGGTTTGTGTGTCTGTGTGTGTATGTTTCTGTGTACTTTCTATTCAAATTGTCCCAAAGGACATTTTCAGCATAAACTTCCTCTCTATCAAAACATCATTTATTTTACTTTGTAGTGGCATTGGTATGCATCAGCAAGAGTAAAAAATGTTTTTCCATTTTTTGTGCTACAGTAGCAGTGTTCCTCAAAGTCCCACTGGCATTTTTGTCTCATCACAGTTTCATATTTAAGTAATGAGACCTTTTTTTTAACCTCCTGCGCATATGTTCACATTTTGGTACTGATTTTATCCCATGCAATTTAATCGCTGTCTAAAGCATGTTTATGCATGTACTTTTGAGAATGGCTAGTGTAAATGAAGAGGTGGTGTCTGCTTGAGGCAAATTCTAAATCGGATATTGCTGTTTTTGGGTTGTTGTAGGTTTTTCCGGGCTATATGGCCATGTTCTGGAGGCAATTTTTCTCCTGACGTTTCGCCTGCATCTATGGCAAGCATCCTCAGAGGTAGTGAGGTCTGTTGGAAGTAGGAAAAATGGGTTTTATATATCTGTGGAATGATCAGGGTGAGACAAATGACTTTTGTCTGCTGGGGCTAGCTGTGAATGTTTCAGCTGATCACCTTGATTAGCATTCAATGGCTTGGAAGTGCCTGGGGGGAATCTTTTGTTGAGAGTGATTTTCTGTGCCTGTTTGTTTCCCCTCCAGAACATGGCCATATAGCCCAGAAAAACCTACAACAACCCAGTGATTCCAGCCATGAAAGCCTTCGACAATACATTGCTGTTTTTATCATCAAGAGTATAATGTCTCTTGTGTAAATACACTTATGTGTTTAATGTTTATATTGATGTGTTTGATGTTCATGAGTTGACATTTATGTTGTTGGTCATATTTTAATTATTGTGATTTGCCTATGTGATTTATTGTAACTGTTACTGTGTATATTGTATTTATGCTGTGAGCCACCCTGAGTCCCTTTTGGGGAGAGGGGTTTGGATATAAATAAAGTTTATCATTTATTATTACTTTTCAGAGGCACACATGGTTTTATGCACACTTTTACTACACTAAGATGAAACACAAGCTGCAAATCATAAAGCTAGTCTTGAGACGTACAAAATAGCTTTTATTAGGGGAATGAAAATACAGATTACTCCATTTTCTATGTGTAGCACCCACAGTAACTAAGTAAAATTAGGAAGATCAATTAAGATATTATCCAGTGCTGAATATATGCATTAACTATATTAACAGTTTGCTTATATAATGATACCTTGAGTTAAGGGTTTATTCATTCCATGACTAAGCTCTTAATTCAAATAGCTCATATTGCAAAATGTATTTTCCCACTGAAATGCTATTAATCCATTCTGGCACTCCCCTCCCTTTTTTTTTGCATGTCTTTAAATAAGAAAATGTACTTTATAGATAACAAATAATGTATAAATGCACATTCCCATGAAACAATAAAAAAGAAAGATCAACTTTAAAATGGTAGAAGCACAAAGTTGTGGTAACAAAGCACACTTGAAGCAACAAAATGTGTGTTGGCCAGTGTAACAGCAAGGCAAAACCTGCACATTCACATGGAACAATTAATAAAAAGATCAACTTCAAAATGGTAGCACAAAGTTGTGAAAAAAATCCTCTAACCCTAAGTTTCTCAAAGCAGACAAGATCCAAGTGGACAGCAATCTCCCAAAGCAGACAAGCACATTATATATATTGTAAGGAACGGAGGCTGCTCCCTTGAAGCCCTAAAGCAGTGCTTCTCAACCTTGGGTCCCCAGATGTTTTTGACCTACAACTCCCAGAAATCCCAGCCAGTTTACCAGCTGTTAGGATTTCTGGGAATTGTAGGCCAAAAACATCTAGGGACCTCAGGTTGAGAACCACTGCCCTGAAGCCTTGTACTCTCTCGTTAGCATGCCCTCTTGCACTAACAGTCCCTCTGGTGCTAGTTCTTAATTCAAATGCTGCTCATATGTCAAAGCGAAATCAGGTTGAGTGACAGCTCTTAATTCAAAATGCGCTTAATTTGGGATGCTCTTCAGTTGAGGTTCTACTGTACCTTAAAAGTAACACATCTGGTTTCCTTTATATGGAAAAAGTAGACATTTCCATTATGTCCAACCTCTTTCCCAACCCCCAGCATTACAAGTTTTATTTTAATAGCCTCTTCACATTAGATGGGAGCCCCTGGTGGTGCAGTGGGTTAAAGCGGCGGGTTAACGGCGCTACATGCAGTCATGCTGGCCACATGACCTTGGAGGTGTCTATGGACAACGCCGGCTCTTTGGCTTAGAAATGGAGATGAGTACCACACCCCAGAGTCAGACATGACTGGACTTAATGTCAGGGGACAACCTTTACCTTTACCTCACATTAGATGTTTTGTCAATACATCTAGAAATAGTGCATGAATCAAACAAATATAACTGATTTGTATCTTACATCACACTTGTTAAGCAGTCAACCACTTAACATGAAGTGAAAGTGTGTGCAGTCAATAGAATCATCTGTATGAAGGTTTCTGATGAAATGTGAATGTTTTACGGATGGAAAAAGCAAATGTTGTGCCTCAAAAGGAAGAAGGTTGTCTATTGCTGCTCTATGCCTCCAGCGTCACAACTTATTTCATTTTCTAAAGAATGATCTCCAGTCATTCATTCAGTTTAGGAGATCTATCAATCTCACAAAATAGGCTAGTTTGGTGAAACTCAAATTAAGATCAAGCTCATTGGGTATTAAGCCATGCTGACTCCCTGTAATTTTTCTGCCAGAATGAATGGATATCGTATTTATACTCAGAGGACATATTTAAACATGCATATTAATGTGTGCATGATGATTCTTTAAAACACAAAAATTATCTCCAGGGAAATGGGATGGGGGGATGTCATAAAGACAAACCATTTTTGGAGGATTCTTCTCATTAAATGTTTAGACATTTCCCCCTTCCAAATGAAATATTTAAACATATTTTTAAACCCAGAATTCTAAGTTTCTGTTCAACATGAAATATTTACACATGGGAACTAAATTAGAAAAGAAGCACCATCTCCTTGCAATACTGTACAGATTACTGCTGAGTAAGGGCCATTAATATGCCAGGTGTTTGGCTATAAATTAATACAGAGACTGCTGCTGCTGTATAATCTATACTTTCCAGGCTGGCTGAGTTTAACAATAAACTACCAGGAAGGTCACTGATGGGTCAGCAAGCAGGATCTCAGTGACAACCTACTTCTGCTGTTATTCATGATCTTGTTACTTACTTTGAGGTGATAGGAGAAAGAGTGACTGTGTGTGTGCTTGTGTACGTCCAGCTAGCCTTTGTTTTATTTCAAAAGAATGCCCGTTTCTTACTCACAAGTGAATCTATTGCTTTCTTAAGATATTACATACATAACTGTATCTCACTATGAAGTATAAAAATGGCAGAGATTTGAGCAAGCAGGATTATTTATTTATTTTCTTTATCCCAAAAATTAAGGCTGATGCCCAAAGTTCAAGAGCACAGAGGTTATAAAGAGTGCTCTGGCTTGGCACTGAGTAAGTATTGTGGACCTAGTTCCAGGATCCGGACTGCCATGAATATATCATGGTCTGATGCTGTTATTGTTATTATTAGGCTTGGTTGATCCAAGTCATAAGTTTCTTAAATTGTAATGAAATCGTAAATAAATTACCTTTTGAAGCGATATCGACGCATTTTGG